ACTGGTAAATCTTCACTTTTTGGATAAGAAAACTGATATATAGAAAGATGAAATGACATGGTACTGCTCCCTGTGCTTTGCAGAACTGCTGTTTACTGTTGCCTGGGCCCCTATTAATCAAAAAGCTTAGGAGGGGCTCAAGAACTTAATGCACTCAGGGTTCCTCTGCATTTTGTTCTCCCTGATTGTACTCAATTAATTTGTTTCCTCTGAAGAGTTGGACAGGCTTTCTCCAGCTTTGTTCCTGCACATTAATACTTATGCATAATATGGCTTAAAGAAAAGATGAATTGGTGAGCAGTCTGGAAACCTGAGGCACATTGCCCTTTTGAGTAATGGTTCTGCATATGGAAGGGGGAGGAAAATATTGCCATAGGGCCTCTATGACCTGTTCATGGGTAAATAATTATTTAGAAAACATTCATTTGGAATGAAAGTCAGCTCAGAGGCCTGACGGTTATACAGCAGTCCCCGGGGTTAATATGGGAGGGTTGTGAAGTCAGTCAAAAATCAAATTCATCCCTGAAAAAAACTGCCCTGGTTAAGTTTTTATTTTGGAAAACTGAGAGAAAAACAAAGCAATGTTGATTGCTGTAGGTGGAGAAAAGCATCCTCCAGGCTTATGACATTTTTAAGACACAAAATCTTGTATATCAGATGGATCAAGCCCAATGCTCTATATATGCACATGAACAATATCCTTTTGAGTGATGAGTGTGTAAGCTCTGTTTCCAGCACATAAAAGACTTCAAAATGGACTCATCTAAGTTTTTATGGCATGCTGTGTAAGACAGCAAAGTGGGGTTGGAGAGTCAGGCAAGGCACCTGGGGAGGCAGAAGTCTCCTGGTAATCTTCATTATCTTGGATGCTCTCCTTTTCTCAGCTCCTGTTTCCCAATTGGAAAATGTGGATAATGCCAAGGTCTGATGGACAGCATCTGCTTTATTTGTTCTCAGCTTATAGGATAGATTTCTTCTTAAAAAGACATAGTTGGCTCAACTGCAGCCCTCGTGAGAGGGAGATGGGTCTTCCTACCCTTTATATCCATGCAGTAGCATCACAGAGGAGGTGATTTCACAGAAGGGATAGGGTACAGCAGACAGGGAGGAACAACCACTCAGTAAGTGAGGCCTCCAGCCCAGTGGGCAGATTGGGAGATAGCAGAGATAGACACAAAGCAGACTCACAATCAGGTATCTTTTGGATGGAAAGAAGCAGCTTCACAGGGACGAGAAGGGACTGTGCATGGCTTGCTGTGGTCCAAGTATTGACTGAATTGAATGAAACCAGGCTAGAAGGCATCTTTGTAAGGATGCAGTGGGCAAGGAAAAAATTATTTATGTTATCCATTTTACAGTGATTGTGTTTGACCTAGTCAGTCCAGTTTACACTGCTTTAAGAAGTTAAGGATTCTAATTTATATTTTAGTAAAATCCAGTTGATTCATGTTCAAAAGCCTTTCTTATCTCTTTTGAGGGGCTCTGGATAAGCGAGGTTTACCTGCCAGATTGGGATCTCATAACACAAGGATGGTCTTTCTTTGCAAGATGATTTGGGGTTCTTTGAGTGAGAAGTACCACAGAAGAGTGGAATCATTACTGAACTGCTGAATGCTCACTCAGGTCTAGAAGCCCATTTACTGCACTCATGTGCAGCTTCTCCCTGCTGATGAGAGCCTGGCTGAATCCTGCAGAGATTGTAAGTTAGTCCTTGAAGGTGTGCTATTCCCCTCTGCTGATACCAAATACAGGAAAAAGCAATGAAGATTCTGCTTGTCTTGGCTGAAGTGGAAATATCTTCAGTCAATTAACCCATTAAAATTATCTTTTGCTCTTTGATCCCTTTTCATTCCTACCTGTCCCTTCTGATGCTGAAGTGAAGGCTCTTTGGAGACAGGGCCACCTTTGCTTCTGCGGCTCTGAAGGTGGGCAGATCACTGCATGGTGCTGCTATACATTAGTTTCCATCAACTCCAGGTCCCAGTGGAGTATATAATTCTCCATAAATGAAGAGGCAAGTTTCCAGGTTTTACGCAAAAAGACCACACAAAAGAAAATATGTGCTATATAATTTTCTTCCTTTTGATTTTTTTTCCATAGATAGTGCGTGTCCAATTTAACTTGAATAGTCCCAGTGAGATCCAGTTTATTAGCTCTAGTAATTTATGTCTTACAGACATAAACCTCCCTTCTTGCCCGTTCCTGCAGAAGTCACTATACTAAATTCCCAAAATATAGTCTGAGCCTACACAGACATCAAGATCCCAGTAACCAGAATATGTTAAACTTAAGTTGGTGGGAATTCTGGAAGTATCTTATCACCCAAAATTAGCTATTAATTGTAGGTAAATAATATTCATTCTTATTAATTATGGCTACAGAATTATGTTGGACCCGCTCAATTTTTTAATGTTTTAGGCAATGCTCCACAACACTTTGACCAACATCTAGAAAAATGGCCTGTATGTCTTTTTGTCAGAGCAAATAAATTAATTTTTATGGAATGGAAGTGGAGGGTAGAACTGAATAAGCTAGTTGCAATGGAAATAGTCTTTCAAAACACTGGAAAATTTAGACACTCGCAATAGCATGTGGTCTAATTTCCTGAACCTGTGAGAAAGGACGTGAATTATTATATAGCTTACTGCTGAACATACGCTTGCTTCCTCATGTATGTAGAAGGCAAGGGTGCAATATGTGCATGAGTCAGGTCCAGCATTTCTCATTCTGTCTCTTACAAGTTCAAAAGCAAAGCAGAAATCGTGAATGACAAACAGGCATGCCAAGAAGTGAGCCAGAGCAACTTAGAGTAGTCTAGATGCTTCTAAACTGGACTGGACAAGAAGAAAAGTAACTTTTGCTAACAGATACCTTTCTAATTTGTCAATAGCTTTTATTTTGTTTTTAAAAAGCTTGTCAGAAGCTTTGGAGTTATATTTTTTCAGTGTGTACCAAGACCAATGTTGTAATTTTGTGTAAGAACCATACTCATCTGCTGCTCCTCTGTCACTGCAGTCTTTCTCCAATATTCCCGCACTCTTTTCACAACATTTCCAAATAAGTTTCCTGAAGCTTGAAGTAGGGGTGGGGACAAAGAGGGTGCAGGGGTTTTTTGGGGGGGTGGGTTTGGGTTGGTTTTTTTTAAGAAACAAACGTATCCCTGAGTTTAAAACTCAGAAAGAGTCTTGGCTCCCTTGAGGCAGCATCACAGTGGGATCCTGCAAACACGGCTTTGGTTGCCATCTAGGGAATGTAGTGCATTCACAATTTATATTCAATTTACTGCCTTTACGTGAAAGGATTCTGGATTTCAGAGCCTGATGGTGGGGTGACATCGAATACAAGATTGTGTAGCACTTTATAGAACTTTTCTTTTACTAGCTGCTCTATAATCACATTAAGTTAGACTGTAAATTTGAACTAATTCTTTCCCTTGAGGCCTAGGCTCTAATAATGGTAAAAAAAATCTGTGAAATGGAATAAATACAATTCAATAATTATATTGATAAATAAAATGAAAATCAACTAATTTTGTCATTCAGTCAGTTGCCTGCCTCCGTTGTTGCTGCCTTTCTGCATCAGCAGCTGCTAAACTTTTTCTGTCACACTTCAATAAATTTAATTGTGCAGAATAAATGAGCTAATTTTTGAAGTCACAGGCTCTGTTTGCAAGATAAGGATGGTGATTTATTGACCTCCTCTAACTCTGTAAGAGTGTCACCCTCCTTTTTACTGACAACCTAAGAAGGGGTTTTGTCCCTCTTCACCCAGCGCCTTACTAAATCCTACTTTGTATATTTACCTTCCCATCTAGTTTTCTTGAAGACACCTAATACACCACAATAGACCAAAGATCCGTGCTTCAGTTGGTGGCTATACAGACTATTCCAAGTGATTAGCAGAGCTGTGGGGTTTTTATCTTTCTTTTTGATGCTATTTTCCTCTGATGATCGTTTCATTCCCTGGATTTTGGAAGGATGGCTGCTAAGGGGAAGTACAAGGAAAGGGGCACAGGTTAACACCTGTTTTTTCTGGAAGATCTGGTCTAATCTCATTCATGAATCATGAGCTCATGTGCCTTACCAGGATGCACACTCATTTCAGTGCTCATTCCCATTGACAGTTTGACCATGAACACAAGAAAAAGGCAGATACTAGGCACTGGACATGCCTCATGAAAAAAATTGCCTGCTTCTTCAACTTTTGCTTCTGTTCCTTGGTTTTTGTGTTTAGGAATTGAGAAGATCATAGAATCATAGAATGTTTTGGGTTGGAAGGGACCCCTAGAGGTCATCTAGTCCAACCTTCCTGCAGTGAGCAGGGACACCGCTAACTAGATCAGGCTGCTCAGAGCCCCATCCAACCTGGCCTTGAATGTTTCCAGGGATGGGGCCTCCACTACCTCTCTGGGCAACCTGTTCCAGTGTTTCACCACCCTCATTGTAAAGAATTTCTTCCTTATATCTAGTCTAAACCTACCCTGGTTTAGTTTAAAACCATTACCCCTTGTCTTGTCACTGCTGGCCCTACTAAAATGATGACGAGAAGATACTGGCTCTCTTGTCTGTTGTATTACTGCTGCAATTTTTACAGCAATGGGTCTGTTAAACTTAGGTAAAATGGTAGGAGTGAATAGGCTGCACCTTTTCTTTTCCACCTCTTTGATTTACTTTGTGAGTCAGGGTTTTTTAGCAAAACATCTGTATGACAGCCACAACTACCCTTTTTCATAAGTCTGGATCTTTTTCTCTATTCTTTTAGTTATTTATTTAATTTTTAATTTAATTTAATTAAAATTAAAATTTTTTTAAAAAAAATTAATTTAATTAAAGTCATAAAACAACCTATCTGTATATGAAAAGGGATGATTAGATACTGTGGTACAACTCTATCTCTGTTCTAGCAGACAAATCAGTGGTCATGCTGTAGCAAATCAAAATCCCCAAATCAAAAATCTTTGTATTCTGTTGAGTTAATAAAACTCTTTAGAGAAAAATAAAATCAGCATCAACGCATCAACTATGTCAAAAAATGGTCCCAAAGTTCTGCCTCCCTGCCTCTGGCAAATAAATCCAATAAATGAGAAGGATGGGGACACCTTCTTTGTATTACTAAATGTCTGCCAGCTGAGGTGCATAGGGCTATGCAAACCAGTTTTCCATCTCGCTGTACACTGTGTTTGTTCTTTGCAGTGAGATTGAATCTAGTCGTCTTTGACTATGATGCTAGGCAACATAGCAAGTCAAATATATATGTGAAAGCTAGCTAGACTTTGACAAACTTGGCCTCCTAGAAGTGCACAGCAAAAAACTTTTTATGGTGCCAGGATTCAGCTGGGCACCTAGAACACAAACTGTGAGAAACCTTTTTCTCATGTTTTAGTTGTTATATTGGACGTCTTTCTGCTGTAATTTTCTTCTAAAGAAGACTTACAACCTCCTAAATATTTCCTGTCAGGTGTTGGCTAGGTGAAATGCATCCTCGGGAATTGCAGCTGGAGGAATCATAACATCCCACATACAGAGCAGTCCAAATTTCTGCCAAACTCTTCACTGTGTCTTTAACTCAAACTGCTTGCACTCTTTGTGATTGATGCTTGCGGCAAAAGGCAGACCTAACCTAAGAAAGCCTTCTGCATCATGGCTCTGCCTTCCTTCAAACAAAAACTTATGTCTAATTTAACAGCCTGCCCCAGGAACTCCACACAAACCTAACACAGACAGCCTTTGCGTGAGATGATAATTGCTCTTCCTCCATGTTTTCACTGTGTAGTTGGTGTTTGTGCCTTGGTTGCTGTGGGTTGCTTAATTTAGACTATCATCTCAGGAACCTGTCAACCTGCACCTGAGTAATTACATTGATTTTTTGGGGGAGTATGAAAGTAAATTAAACCTGAACAAAACTTACTCTTTGGTGAAGAAACCTTTGCCAACTTTAACAGGATAAAATTCTGCCAGCATGCAATATTTTATTGGACTGTAGTGAAATACTTCGGAGAGAGATTTCCAGTTCATAAACCACTTACAAAATGCCAATTGACCTTAGTTTTGCGGACCATTATCATTTTTCTTTTTGCAAACCACGTTCCAGTTGTTCTGCAGATTCCTTGCACCAAGAACAAGAAGACCAAGTTTGTGTTGAAGCGCTGGACCTTGTGGCAGGTACATGAGATTTCTGAAAATGCGAAGTCTGATTCAGGCCAACATTTCTAAAGCCATGACTTCCAGTGAAGGAGGACTGTGTACTTCCTCTGAAAGAGGAAGTCGGCAAACCCTTACAATAAAAGTAATGTTCGTTTTCCAGTTCAGATTCTTTTTTTGTTGTGACCTTTGCCAGATCTTAGATTGTAAGTAGAGGAGTAGAACATATTTTCTAATTAATCCAAATTGAATACATTCATCATGCTCTGTAAATCATAATGCAATTCTGCTCTTTATCCTTTTTCGTTGGTGCTCTTGTTATGTAGGTATGATTGAGAGTTGCTGGTCTGATCTGGAAGTGACTTGGCAAAATGCCACCCGCTTGTCACTCTCTGATTTATGGACCAGCAGAAGGGTACAAGCTTTGGTGAAACATGCAGCCTGTAGATGAAACCAAAGTTAGGCAAACAAGGGGTCTTCATGAAAGAAAGCCTCTCTTCCCTATTGCTGAATGTAGAAGGTGAACTGCCCAGGTGAGGAGATAAATCAGAACTGAGTACAGAGATGACATTTCATATTGCCTGGTGGAATTTAGGTATCTTCCTAAAACACCAGCCTTTTGGTTCATTTTGCTGAAGAAATGGAAACCAGCCCCATTATTGGGGCAATGCATGGCCAAGGCCAGAGCTGAGATTTGAGACCTTTCTGTGTTCTTTGATGTTTGAAAACTAAGGTGGCAATAACAAAACCATCCAACTATGTAAAAAATGGGCAGTGTGAGGGAATACTGAAGCCCAAGTGAAACCAAATGGAAAACAATGTCTGGAGACAGGAGCCATCCTCTGTCCATGGCTCGCTTGGGTGCCTGTATTGCCAGGCCTCTTCCAGTCCCCAGGACAGACCTAATATGATTAGATCAGAGCATCCCCTAATTCACAAAATATGCTTACTGCAAGACACTTGTTTCCAGTTGGGATTTTTTTTTTTTTTTTTATGTTGTAGTTTTGAGACTGCCTTGGAATATTTTATATAACATCAGCCACTGTGCAGATTTGTGTATTGTACTGTAATTACTTAAATAGGGGATTTTGTATGCTACAGCCAGTGATTCATGAACTGCAGGGTATCTGCAAAAACAGGCTTTCATTGGGATTATGGGATGTAAAATGCCTGAAGGTTTTTGCCTTTGATAGCAGACCTGCCATTGCATCCACACAGGGTTTGTCTAATAAATTGTATTAGTGCTTTCCAGCATCCCGATAAATTCCCTCCCCCAACTCCTTGCTATTCTGAAGTGTTTTGAAAGAAAACTGGTTCTCTGTGAATTATTGCTGTGGCAATCATTAAAGCATATGTTCAGAATGCTTGTTGTTGACCATGCAGTATAACAGAGAAGGAAGTTGAAAAGGTTCTTCAGGAAGGACTTAATATTGTGATATTTGCAATTACATGATTTCTATCTGGAAATAAGGGAGTTGTGGAGGGTGTGAGGAAAAGACCACAGCTGGATGTTCTCAATGTCTTCAAGGGCATGTAGTTGCTCATCTTCCATCAGTTTAAGGTTATGCAGCTAAATCCCCTACCTGTTTTTGGAAATAGTCTCAGCCCCAGAAGAAGATGGAGCTACTGTTTGATTTAAGGCATTGTCTAACTTGGCATGTCAAATTATTTCAAGCCCACAAGAAGGAGGAGGGCACGCTGATGACAGCGTGTTCATGCCTGCGTATCCAGCCAATGTGTTAGACTAGGAATCCTTGCAGACACAGGTAAGTCTGAAGCTTTTTCCTTCTGCGAGATCCAGCGGGAACTGGGCAAGGGGAATCATAAATATATGATAATGCCTTGCTGCCTGTTAAAACCCTCTAATTCATCCAGGGGATAGCAGGTTTCTAGTGAAATTTCCTTGCTTGCTTTTCCATCTGCCCATTTCTAAATGTCTGCAGGTTTTGTGCCACAAAGACAGAAACAGTTGTTTTGTAGTTGCTTGTGAGTTTTAGTTGTAGCAGGCACAGTATTTCAGACATGCCAACGCTTGTTTTTGTGTTGGGATCCACATGGCTGCATTTTCTTTCCAGGGGTTGGGAAAGATCATTTTCTTAGTCATATTTCTCTCAGATCTAGAGCTGTGCAGATAAAAAACAGAACCAAAAAAACCTTACTGCTACTAGCTCCCTTCCTTCTGAAGCCATCACAGCTCAGGTAAGGAAGTTCAGTAGACGGCACATACAAGTCAAGGTAAGTGAAATTAAAGTGAGTGTTTGGTGCCCGTAAGATTCTTCACTGACTTTTATTCCCATGCATAAGGGTAACGTCAGCCATCAGCAGCAAGAAAATCCAAGGCCTCCCAATCTCCATCCTTGTTCACTTTTGGCTGTGCCTGTTTCAAGCTGCCTGGTGTGCAGCAGGTTGCTTGCTATTTTAAAAACTCACTAAAAATATGAGGGCAGCAAGCAGCGCGTAGCTGTGTATATACTGTGTATATAGACAGAGCTGTATGTTCTTGGCTGAAATCCTCTGTTCAGGAAGGTTCTTTGGGGGGTTAGGTGCTTTGTAAAGGTTTGGGTTTGTTTTTAAAGCCCTGCATACTGCCACTCGCGCTACTCTCAGCTCTATTTTACAGCATTTGGTCATGCAAAGCGATGCTCCCAAACAGGGCATCGGAGGAGACTCAGCCCAGCAAAGCTGCAGGTAGAGCAGAACTTGCTGCCACTGTTTTCCATATGTTCCCCTCTATGGGGGCCTGACTGGACCTCGACCTGAGGAGGAAGCAGAACGGAAACTTAATGGAGAAGCATGTCCTGCCCCCAGGTATATGAAGCAGCCAAAGTCTTTTGTTCTCGTTCTCTCGGGTTTTAGCATGTTTCTGTCCTGGGGGGTGGTGGGTGGGTGGGTGTGTACTAGAGGCAACGCGTTCATCCCTTGCTCTGCCTAAGTCCACAAAAACATCTCCTAGTGCTCAGGCTTAATTTGCAGCCCTTCAAAAGAACCTTCCCCTATTTCCTCTTCTTTTTTTTTTTTTTCTTTTTGTTTCAAGTTAGTTCACATTGATTAATCATTTTAGAAATGCTTAGGGCTGGGATTGTGAAACCTTTGCTGGCAAGAATTTTTCCCCTGGAGTCAAGGAGACTACTCATTAGCATGACTACTTGCCAGTGTGAGGGAGGGATTCACAATCTGGACGTTTGTAGTTTTAAAAATATGTCTCTATTTAGCTGATTTGAGCAGCTGAACAGGGCTGGTTATGGAAATCAGACTAACAGGCTGTCACACTCGGGTGTTTTACTTCAGAATGCATCTATGGTGAAATAATGTATTTTTTACGTAACACACACATTTAAACAGTATTTCAGTTGCCTGATTGGTGTCTTCAGTCTTGCTTCCAAGCACCGTGTGATACCCTTTCAGCGTAAACCACACCAAGCCCTTTGTTGTTAAATCCCCTCGCTGTACCCCTCTTACCTTACACACAGTGTAAAAGGGTACGTGGGTCAGCACTGGCAGGAAAGCCACCACGGGCCCATTAGGCAAATCTCCCAGGAGCAGCTAGTGCTTGCAGGACACCTGGGGTTTGAGCACAGTGGGAGGAGGGGGTAGAAGGTGAGGAGCTGGGTAAGGCTGTGCCTGCGGGACATGAAGGTGGCACGGCTGTACCTCTTGTTCCTGCTTGCGAGAAACAAAACTCCAAGGAAAGAAGTCTGGCACTCTGACAGAAAACCCTGTGGTTTATATTACACCGGTTCCCTACTGTGAGTCACTCCCCCTTTTTTTCTGAGGACAAGTGAAACAATTCTGCCTCTGCTCTGCATGGCTAGCAGCAGCAGTGACCTTCAGGCTTGCCACTTAAAACTGGTGTGGGATCATCACAGCAAAAATTCACGCCAAGGCTATCTTTCCCTTTTCCCCAGGCTCCTCCACCCCACTCCGCAGTGTTTACTTGTCTGCCTGCAGCACAGCCACCCAGCCTGGGGGCCGGGCTGCTGGAGCACAGGAGTTCCGTCTTCTGTCTGCATCTCCCTCCACCTTGCACAAAGCTGACAGGGAGATTTTTCACCTCCTCACTTTCCTTTTTCCTCTTTGATTAACTTTGGACCAGATGGCCAGTCCCCAATCTCTCAGCATGCATTTGACTGACAGGAGCCTTTGATAAACCTCATAAGAATGAAGTCATCTTCAGGTCACCTCCTCTGCCTGGCCTTTAGCATCCCACACATACCACCATTATCTGCAGAATAGGAGACAAAGGAAATTAGCTCCAATTTCCTATCATCCCCATTATTTCCACACTGATTTAAACAATGAGGCAATGAGATGCCCTTCACTTTCCTTGGAAAGGTACAAATGTCAGCTGTTAAGAAATGCAAACAAGAGGGTTCCCATGTTAATGGATGGGCTTCTTTGTAAAGCCACGAAGTGGTAAAGTGGATTTATTCACCACCTGCCTGGAAAATGGTTAAGACACTTCCAAACAAATTCTTTAACCACTTTTATTTTATACACAGTGCAGAGTGCTTGAGAAGCCTCATTGTTTTGATCTGGATATATATAATGAGGTGATATACCACTCTCTTGTTTCTTCCCTACGCAGTTATCAGAGCTTCATTTGAGACAGTCTTGAACTGAAATCTTGGAATCCAAATTCCTTGATATACAAAAAGGTTTAGCTGTCTGTGAATCCAAGTACTGAGATGTAGGAAACTACCTCAAATTTCAAGCGAGGAAAGAAATTTGGATACTCTGGACAGAGGACACAAAGGCGTGAATCAGAATGGAGTCTCTCCAGAGATTTGTAAGTAGTTACCTCACATCTACTTGGCTATTAACCTTTTATCTGAGAAGAGAAATAACGATACACCATAAGAAGTGTTGCCCCAGGGGTATTTTAAGTCCGGCATGCTAGAGAATATCTTTTAAAGTATTTATTTTGGTGAGATTTTCTTCCCAAGATAGTGGTCTTCCACTAGAGTTGATTTGACTGGCAGTTAATTCTGGTTTTTTGGCAACTGAAAGTATCTGAATGTTTGGGCGCTTGCATGAAACCATTCTCCAGATCACTGGCACACCCACATACATTGGAGGAGATTAAAACAGCAATGATCTTCAAATTAACTCTTGGGAAAACTGGTCCATAAACTGTGCTTTACCTTAAAATACAACTTTGCTTTTCTTTGCTTACTGGTCTCTCCCTAGTAAAGCAGTCAAGATCCTGCCTCTGAAAGAGGGCTCTCTGCAGAGACATCCCCTGACGTACAGTTGAAAAGGACCACACAAGAATGTCTCTATTTATTCCACAGCGCAAGAATCATGTTGAGAGCTAGAAACTGAGAGCTGTATTCCTGTTGCCTGCTATGAAACATGGGAGCAATGACAGCACATCAGGTCGAGAGACTGGTGAGCAATTCCAACCACCTCTTATGCCAAGCTGCTAGACCTTGGCTTCCTGTGCAGTCAGTGGAAAAAAAAGTCATCTTTGTACCCAAGTTAGGCACGTGGAGAAGTCAGCCCTGCCTGCTCGATGCCTTGTGGCTGCTGCTCAGCAAAGGTAGGAGTCTGAATCACTTCTTGCTTATTGACCTTAGATGTCATTGTAGCAGGGGTTTCTAAGTAAGTTAGGCTTTTACATTGGGCAGCCTGAACATGGCACTGAACGTGGTGGTCTGTGAAGGCCTTTCTGTTGGTTTAGAGTCGTAGGTAATGTTTGCCACATACCTTTAGCCACTGATAAAAGCTGGTCTTCTTTGTCTTTACAGTGTTATCACAGGTACCTGCACTTCACCAGTGGCAGGCAGAATTCTGGTGATGATCTAGGCTGATTTATGCATCTGGGCACACCTCGCTAGCCTCCACCATGACCTCTGTGTCTAGAGAGTGGTGGCAGAACTGGAGTGTAAGAGGCCAGCTAGGTTTTAAATAAAGACCCTCTCCATATGAATTCAAACGTACTCAGAGGAGGACATAATATGGAAGTCATGTAGCACTTTCTTTTTTTGCTTTGGGAGAGTCTTTTTTATGGCTTCCCTTACTAGTATATGAAGATCCATACTGTGGCACTGCAGTAAAGGATTCCCATCCCAAACTGGGCATATAAACTCAACAGAAGTCCACTACCTGAAAGAGGGCTTGAGAAAAGTAAGTTAAGCCTAATTAATGAAAGTACTCATTCTTCAACCATTCCAGCAAAAATCAAAGGAAATGTTTTGCTGCTTTTGTCTTTCCAGTTGAAAAGCTTCCAGTGTGGCCTGCACCATTAAAGGACTCCAGCTGCTTTGCAATTATACCTTGTTCCTCTTTCCTCTATATTCCATCTCGTAGTGGTGAATCTTCAATCACCACAATTTTGCTGGTGCTGACATTAAAAGGACGGTCTTCTGACAGCTCTGGAGAACCTGTAATTCATGTTATTTCTTGAAGTATTTGACTAGCTAATGCAAAAGGCCAGGTGCTTTCTTCCATTTATCAGGTCTCCCCTTTTCCATGCTGATGCTTCTATCTTGATAATGACTGACTTTGTCACCAAGCTACTTTTTTTCTGACCCCTTGACTTCAAGTCGGTCAACTGACTGAAGATGGGCCCTAGGCTTTGCTAGGTAGAACATGGCCTAGTCTGGGGATTTACAGGAACAGATGGCTTCTGCCCCTGTGACCAGCAGCCTTGGTAGTATTTTTAAGACATCTGAAGGCACCTTTGCACTGGTAAGGGTGGGAAGCTCAACACATTTCCATGCATCCTGCTCCATGCTTTCTCATCAAAATCTGGAGGAGGAATTAAACTTCTGGAAGTGGTTATGAGTTTGGCAGCCACAAAGCTTCTTTTAAAGGCCCTGCTGTGTCAGGGTGCAGATCAAGGTGCAAAAACGTTCCCCTGAAGAGCTTATCTTCCTGTAGATAGGGAAGACTGAGTTGTATGGAGCCAACCTGTGGCAAGGATTGAAAGCTGTCTGCAGTACTAAGTATTTTTTTCAAGCACAATTCTCACCCACAGTTTGTTTTTCACATACAGCCTGTCACTACTTGAGGTGTCTGGCTGTCCATCTCTGCAGATAAATGGACACACCAAAAAGGATGGACAGATATACTGGCACCAACACAGTTTGACTTAGGTCACTTTACAGTAGACATTCGAGTCAGTCTGGAGAAGCAAGAACATGGCAAAAACTCTAATCTGAAGGTTTTGATTTTTTTTAAGCAGAAGTATCAGCTATCTGCAATTCAAAGCGAGAGATTGAGGGTGGGGGGCTTATGCTTCCCATTTTGTTTTTAAGAAGGTCACAGTGAAAGCTTGTGATTGAATATTTTGCATGGAACTGCCTATGACAAAGACAAAGACAAGGGTTTTGTCAGAGTGCTATGAAAAGAGAGTGAGAGAAAGAGAGAGAAAGATCTGTGTTAGATTTTTAAGGTATATTTGAAAGAATGAAATAAAAAAAAAATGCTTTCAAATCCTCAGGGACTTTCCAATTTATCAAGAAAGACACATTCTTCCTAATGAAAGGTTACTGACCTTCATGAATGTGACAGTTCAATTACAGCCCATTCATATGCAGAGCAGCCGTTGATAAAGGATTTAGGAAATGTGACTAGCATAGCAAAAAAAAGGGGGGGATGTCTAGAAAATTATTTTTTATTGTGGAGCAAGAAATATAAATAAGATTCAGTCAGGTAGTAGAACCTTTTCTTCTCTGGCCCAGCAACCCATTAGATTTGCTTCAGTGAATACATTGACTTTTTCCTCTTCTTTTTCTACTAATATTTCTGTCTTTTTAATCCTCTGAACTACTAAACCTAACAAATCATAAAGCCCTTGGGGTGCTGAGATGCAGGGTTTCAAACATTTTTTCCCTCTGACTGGCAGAGAAAGCTGGAATGTGTCCTAATGTTATTTTAAGTGCTTGACTAGTATTTAAACTCTTAAATGGATGGAAAGTTAAAGCAGGAGCAAATGCACATGCACATACATGTACCCCCCCTCCCCCTTCTCCTTCCACCTTCTCCTCCCCCCCCGCCCCCCGCCCCCCCCCCCACACTGAGCTTGGCCTCTCCAAGGCTGTTAATAGCCAAAGCAGATATTGGCTAAACCCTCTGGCGGCAGCCTTCAGCCAACGGAGGGTGACACCTGTGAGCTGATGTTTGTTGAACTCCTCCAGGTGTAGGAAAGATGCTTAAATTGACATAAGGCAGGAGCTGTAAAAACAGGCAAGTATGTCACTCATACGTACCGCTCTCTGGAAGATCCCAAGGCCAAGTTGTTGCGAAACAACTAGAAAGAAAGAAAAATGTTTCGCTTGCTTTGAAATAATTCCAGATTATCTGTTTATCTATCCGCATGCACATGCACACTTATGGGACTAAGCCTATGCACACCGTGCACACGTGAAGCATGCAGAGAAAATAACATGAGGTGTGTGTCCCTATAAACACGTGAACAAACCCACCTTCTACTTTAAGGTGATAGCAGGCTGAGCAGTTGCGGAGTTAGATGAGGACAAACCTTTGCTTAGTGTAAGCTCTCACAGGTGGTCCCAGATGGAGCAGCTGTGGTGGAAGTTTAGTGCTCACCTATATTTATGTTAGGTCATGATTAAATGGAAGGCATTGTCTTCCACAGAGCAGCAAACAGATTCTTGACTATAAGCAAGTGCTCAAATCCAAGTGCAATCAAATGGGTGTGAAGAAGTGCTAAAACCGTCTGCGGATGTCAGAGCCAAAAGACATTTCCTTGACCTTCACTCAGTATCTGTGAAATGGCACGTATGTTTCTGAGAAATGAGAAGCTTGGTTAATCGGCGCTACCTCTGCCCAGATACAGGGCTGAAATTTTCCACGCTGTTCCAGCAGAGAAGAACTGTGGGGACTGAGACTGTGAGACCTCTCTTCTTCCTAGCAGAGCCACTGTGGGGAGGAGAGGCCAGTGCAGAGTATTTTCTACTTCTGTTACGGCCAATTACAGTTTCTGGGAAAACAGAATCACTCTCAGTACTTCAAGCTGCCACACTAGATGTCTGTCTTCCTTGCCTAGTTACCTGCTCTGAGTAAATTCCAAGACCAATTCCTAGTGGGTATTTGGAGCACCTTGCTTGCTGGGTGCTGAAATTTGTGTACATTCTCAGTAAAGTCCTGAGGGGCCTGTTCTTGAGGTCATGAGGTTTTTCATCAGTAATCATCCACTGGTACTGACTGCTTTGCAGACTCTCGGCCTCTGTTGGCTCATTTGGGTTTAGGTGATCATTGTAGAGGAAAGAACACTTCCTTGTCCTTAGACTAATTTTAGATCAAGGGCTGGCACGGAATTGGCTTTGGCAGCATTGAGTGATAATGTCTTATAGTGATGTATACAAATAAAGTAATCAATCTGTCTTTATTGGTTCTTTCAGACGACTTTGAAATGCATAATTGTAAGGTATTGAATTATGGAAATCATGGTAGAAATTACTGGGATCCCTTTGGAATGGTCACGTTCTCACTTATCTTTTAAGCAAAAGTTCATCTGATCAAAGGGCTTTTTAAGGCAGAATGCTTTGTTCTCCCTTTTGTTCAGCACGTACCTGAGACTTTCAGGGAGGGTGTTAGGAGGTCCCAAGAGAAATGAATCGAGTACATTCCTGCAAGATCTGTTTCCAAGGAATCTGTTGGTGCAGCGTAGCAGGCAACCCAGCGTCTGTTTTGGGCAACCTGAAATTGTTTATACGCTTCTTGCTTTTCCTGGTAGTATTCTGCCCAGGCTGCACTAGAGGCTCTGGGCAGGCTCTAACCAACAGATGACCATCTCCCTGGTCATAGCTTTTGGCTGTCTCATAGTGTGACAAGATTAGAATCAAAGCCCTTTGAGCACTGGAGAGGAGCCTCCTAGTAGTATGCTCACCACTTGCTTATAATGTTGAAAAGAAAAACAAGATAAAGGGATTGAAAATGTTGACATTTTTAAGTCCTGAAAACCTTTCTGGAGTCTCTCTGTGCAGTTAGATTCATTGTAGGTAGGCTCGCAATCCAGCAGAACTGTTAAACACTGAAGCTGGAACATTATTTTGTCTGAACTGAGGTCTGAAACAATTATATTTAAAATGGAGAGAGTACAAGAACTAATCCAAGGACATTCTATAAAATTGCCTGTCATTCCTCAAATATGTTTTCTGCAACCTGCTGTAGTCTACTTGGACTATGATATGATGATATGATATAAAGTGTTTACTGGAATTCATCTGAGATAACCTTTCTGCAATGTTTTGGGTTTGTCTCTTGTAGATAATGCGTGCCATCTAAGCTTTCCCCCCCGCCCCGTAGTAAAATCCACAAAACAAGACTATAAAACATTTGGCACAGAAAATCTTCACTGTCTTTTAAAATTAGGCTTACTTTTCACCACTAGTAAAATGTATTTAATTTACTTCCAATGGCCAGTGGACAATTTGATCAACTCTAATTTTTAGATAGCTTCATTTTCATGACAGATTTTGATATTCAAATTCAATTAAAAGCTATCTTTACTGAAAGCAAAATAATAAGAACAAATCAGAACCAGCATTATGAGAACATTTCTGATCACATTTGCTTTGGTTAAAAATACAGTCTTTGTTTTCTGCTTGCATTTAATTGGCAGGGTTCCTTTAAAGTTTACTCTTGGCCCTGAGACTTGAAAGTGCAGTCAGGCATGAGGCTGAGCGCAGTCCTAATAGGCAGGCTGCAAAACCTCACCAGCTAGAGCTCATGGGCTACGAGGGGGTTGTTCACCAGGGGAAAACCACAGTCCACTGCCGCTCAAGCTAGCATGAACGTTACATACTGCGTGCCTTGCTGATTGATTAAAAATGTAGTCATCCTTAAAGGCAAATCACCTCAGGACTTACAGTAAGTCACAAATGCAAGGATGGTTTTATGCAGTGTGCTTTTACGTAACAGACTCTTTCAAGACGAGGACTTTGTTTGCAGTCAGTGCAAGTTGGTCGGTGACTTCAGCTAGCTTGCTGGTTGAGGCAGGTTCTCCTGAATCTGTTCACATGGAAACCAAACTGCACCTGAGCAAACATCGGAAGGTGGGGAAGGAATTGCTTTCAGTTCGCAGCCACAAAAGTTAGAGTGACTTATGCATGTTCCAGTAGAGAAAACTTTCTCTCATGGC